AAAAAAAAAAAAAAAAAAAAAAAAAAAAAAAACACATCATAGTAAAATTAATACCTTCTCCGCTTCGCATCGAAGCTAATATAAGTTAGTTTTTAAAGGCAATTTATTAATAAAAAATTAATTTGACCCCTTATAGTTTCAAATTTTGAAGTTGTAAGTTTGAGTGTAGTTATTGTTGCAAAGAAAATGTTTGTTAATAAAATCATAAAACCTTTGAACACCCCCCCAAAAAAAATAGTTAAACCAAATTTTTTCATTTCTTTGCTAATCTATAAATCCCATTGTTTTTTTCTTTTTGTATTAAATGTGATTTAATAATTAAAATTGAGTTTGGAGATAAACATTTTATATTGTTCACAATTAAAAAAAACCCAGCACGGGGGGTCGCGGCACAGTGGTGACGTGGCATAGTTGGATCAAGTATAATGATATCTGACAGTGAGTAAAATCACTATCAAAATAAAACGCTTCGATGCAAATCTTTAGATAGTGTTTAATTTTAAAAAATTGGTGGATTATTCCAAAAGCTACATGATCTGCTAGTTCCTTATTAATATCCTAATTAAGATAAAGTATGTCGAATGAAAAAGGGATTATTAAAAAATATTATTTCTCATAAAAAAATTATGTTGATCCATACACTTTTCAATAAGTTATAGCATTATAAAGTTAAAAATGTAAAAAATAAAATCGAGAATTTTCACACAATAATAGCATTCGGTAGCCATTTTCACCGTGAAGATAAAATAAAGTCCGAAATTTTTTTTTTGCATAATAAAGTAAATTACATTAGCTTTAATTTAAGATATATATAAAAGTGTCAGACCTTCCGGAACACTTTCAAAAGTTACGTTGAAAAAGTTCTACTTTCTATATGCATTTTTATGTTTTGAATCCCCCCTGTATTTAGGGAAATGGTCCGATTTAAAAAAACAGTATGTCGAATGAAAGATCTATATAAATACTACTTCTCATAAAAAAATTGTAATGATTCATACATTTTTCAAAAAGTTATAGCATAATAAAGTTAAAAATGGAAAATACAAAATCGAAAATTTTCACACAAAAATAGCATTCGGTAGCCATTTTCATCATGAAGATAAAATAAAGTCCGAAATTTTTTTTTTTTCATGATAAAGCATATTACATTAGCTTTAATTTAAGATATATATAAAAGTGTCAGACCTTCCGGAACATTTTCAAAATTTAAGTTAAAAAAATTCATTTTTTGTGAAAAAGTTGTCATTTTAAATCCCCCCCTGTGGGCAGGTTAAGTGTAAGATTTACAAAAAAAATATACCAAATGATAGGTAAAAACATCAAGCATCTATATAAAAAAATTATATTCATATGTTCATTTTTGAAAAAGTTACGGCAGTTTTTAGTAAAAAAAATTGAAAAAATTTCGAAAATTAGCGATTTTTAAATTTGTAATTTTTTTGGAGGTTTCCCC